GAGCATAAAACTGAGCAAACTCAGGGAGGCAGTGAAGGACAGGAAGGCCTGGTGCGATATGCTTCATGGGGTCACGAAGAGTTGGACATGACTTAACAACTGAACAACAACAAAAACTGTATACTCAGAGACTTATTTACAATGGAAGCTCACAGAGACCACACAAGGTAAGTTGTGTTATTGCAGCAATATAGAAGTCCTACACATGCAAGAAGACTGGCTTCCTAAAAAATCACAGAAATCAAACTCTATTTATATGTCTGCCCCAGGGTTATATCTGAGGTATTTTTCTCCTATATTTTAGAATCAGAAGAAATTGGGTCATTCTCTTCAGAACTTTGCAACTGGGGACATCTGCTCACTATTTAAGTTCTATCTGCCCTGAGAACATTTAGATTGCTTTCCACAATGATAAAATATTTAACATGAAATAATCAGATAAAAAGTCCTGTGACTTAGTCCTACTCTACTGAATTAGCCACAGTTGGTTGGATTCATATAACATGCTAAACTAAGCTAAAATGAAGGAAAAGAGATAAAACTTCAACCCAAAGCCAAACAAACATTTTGGCTTAGCTCAATGCATAAACCAGACCTATATGTTTAAAAAACATATTATGTTCTGGAGTCACTTAAGGACATACTGGTACTGTGCTATGGAACAAGGTGTAACAAACCTCAGGCTCGCATATTCCCTTTTCTGCGTTCCCTACTTTTGCTTCCTTCTTTCAAAAGTAAATTAGCCACAGTTCTATTCCATCCAAACTCTGGGTATTCTGATTAATTCAATATCAAACCAAAGTTTGTGAGCCTTAATTTTTCATCAGTTAGAATTTAAACTAAACAGAGCTCCCAGTACACACCAGTACTGAACACACCAGTAAACACACCAGTAAACACACCAGTAAACAGTGGCTAGCTTAAATAAAAAATGGCAGTTTTCATTCATCCTTCTTATATAAAAAGGAGGGGGAATCAATGAGTTATAAATTTCCAAAAGTTAAATATACTAAGAGAAACCATTATTTTTTTCTTACAAGGCCACAGCCTCTGAAATAGAAACCTACCTAGAGAAAAAATATTTGGATCCCATTCAACAAACTAAAACAACAGTCCAGTTGTCGCTTAGTGATCTCAAATTCTTCTTTTTCTGTCTGACATTTGCTGAACTTATGTAGTCACAAGAGCATTTGTTCCCAGGACTTTCTATAGTTCCATGCCAAGACTTAGAAGCTATTTCTGAAATCAGGACCAATAATGCATATGGTCATCTGTAACAATTATAAAATTATTTCCATTACCATTTGGCTTCCCTTGAGTTCTCTGCCCCTCTTGGCCAAATTTTCCATTGACTTATATGGTAATAACATGTAATATAATGTAAACACCATATGCAGACTGTGCAATAGTAACCTCAGGCAAAATAAATGGTCTAAAATTAAATGTAGGGAAAAACATTCCCAGAGAACCAAAAAAAAAACAAAAAACAAAAAACAAAAAAAACCAGCATCAGAAAACCAAGCATGAAACCCACATCAGAATCCTTATAAATAAGATTTCAAGCTGATATTCTTATTTGTTTTCTTTTCCAAAATAAATGTATCATCATTTCCAAAAATACAGATAGACATTCAAGTCTGTGTGGAAAATGGTTAAGGCTATTTGGCAAAACGTAAAATTAATAAATT